GCTTACAGGCCAAAGACATTATTAAGTATATTTACAGAAAACATTTTAGCATACCTGCACAGAGTTTATTTTTAAGTTTTTTTTTCTACTTTAAGTCTGCCAAAGCAATCTCCATCCGGCACCGATTTATGTGTTCAGAAAGAAGCAGTTACCAGTCTCTCTTGCCCTAGTAACTGAAAGTTTTCATCCCCTCTTTCATCTGATTACGTAACACCAAAAGTTTCCATTGTGCATGAAAATTGTTATTTGGGATAAAGTGTTTATTATTATTATGATTAGCACTGTATTCTTTTGCTGATTGATCGATTTTGTGCTAGCATGTCAAAGTTGTTTCTGTAGATATACATAATAATGTCTTTGGCCTGTAAGCAGCTGACGGGAAGCCAACCAAATAAACGGTAGCATTTTATTCTGCACAAACCACTGTCGTTCTTGCTTTATTCGAATTCATAAAGGGGAATAAATGTATGAAACAATAGTTCTATTATTAAAAAAGATGAACAACAGAAGCGATTTGTGATAACAAGAATAATCAGAACAGACTTGTCAAGTGAGATTTTGTTCCAGAGACTAACCAGAAGTGTACAGAGAACGTTTAACAAAGCCAGCCTATGTTTGCTATCCCTCAGCCGACGAATCAATCAGGAATTAGGACGAAGGATAAACCAGATAGTCTTGCCACGTTTATGTGTATTTATCAGGTAAGCTGATCGTGTGGCGACGGTTAAGTTGTACATACATTACTAACATAGCTTAATCAATGTGTTACTCAACATCTCCCTTTGTAGTTTGATAAAGGACAATTAAAAAAACTATATGCAGCTCCATTCTGTCACATTTAATTGATAGCGGAGAAAACGAAAGTATTCAAGGTAATTCATCGCAACTCACCGAATATTTCTAATAGACTCCGTATTCATCTACTACATATAGCTGAGGCGGTAAGCATTCAGACTATTAAGTCTATATTATGCATTCAAAAGAAGTTCATACACTCATTATCCCTTTATTTTGGTCAATTAAGACCTAATCAATTGACCATACTACATACCAGCACCCTTTATATCCTTCCTCATTCATATTGTGTCATCATTAAAAATAATTTATTTACTTCTCTTGCAACCTATGATTACTTAATTGGAGTACTTATTAATTTTTAGCATTTTTTATTCCTTTACATTCCCAGTAGAAAATAGGGCTTCTAGCTAAAGCTTTGAAGTTTCGATAGCAAAGGTGCTCATTTTTACTGGATGAGGTTGCTAGCTCGATGCTCAGCCTTCCCTCTTTACCAGTTTTATTATTTTGGCTTAGTGAGGCAAAAGGAGTGCATCGGCCGAGGATAGAACCATGAACCTCATCCGTGGCTGGCAGGCATTCTACAGTTTTGCTACCAATGTACCTTTTAATAGAAGCCACAGTCTAATCATTCTACTGACAAATCGCCACAATTGGTACATATTTTATATTTTTATTGGTGAAGTAAAGGCTGATTCGATCTTATTTAAAGCAAAAATGTTGTTAGCTTGAATATGTTGTCCGTTTAACTAATGGTTGGATAATAATAATAATTAATAAGACAATAGTTCTTTAGTTTTGAATGCGTTCTGCACACAAAACAATATATACATATGTCAATAGAGTAAAATTACTGCAGATAGTTTAGACAGATCATTTGTATCTTAATGCATTAATAACGATAGATAAACATTCATGAGTCTGAAAACAGTTTGGAAACCTGTTGAACTCAGAATAAAAAAACGAAAATTTAGGGTTTTTTTTCCTCTAATGTCAAGTCAGTTTTCCCAAATGGATCAAAGACTTGGCGAACGCATCATCAAAAGTATTTCTAAACATCTGCTGAAAATTTTGATCAGCAGCTACCCTCTCTTGATACTGAAGATCATATTGGCCAAACAGAAAAGATTAGCTACTAGGAGCTCTGATAACAAACCATTCAAGAATCGACTTGACTAATAAACATGTCGAAGGAAATGGAGATGGATTAGGCAAACGCTAAGTGACATCATACGACAGCTCCTCAAAGTGGAACTCAAACAGGAAAAGCTGAGGGTGATATGCTGGGGGCTGTGTGAGAAGGAGATGAGAGCTTATAGTCAATCGTGGAGCCAGCTAAAGAAGGCCTCAGAGAACAAGGTGAAATAGAAATTTTCTACTGAAGTTCTAGGTTCCAAAAGAACAATAACATGATAGCAATGATTGTACGACATACCGTATATATATATATATAAGCAAAGAAATATTTATTCTGCAACTAGATCCTCGTCTATGACTCCACTCTGATAAATATACAACAATTTTGATAAGTTTTTCCATTCGTTGCAGTCCCAGTGGAACCTAAATCTTCAAACTCTGATACTAGTTTTATCAGATAAGGTTGTTTAACCCTACGCCTGACTTTCCCTTTCCTCTCAGCTTGCTACCAGCTAAGTAAACTAGGCGACATTTTAGGATACATTGACTGAAAATGGAACTCGAACCTCCACCGCCGTCAGTAGGTCCACTTCAACACGTAGAATTGTAAAGCAGTTCCTGTTCTTGGGGCTAAGGTATTCATGATCACTCTGATCCCAGTGTCGAGTAAGTTTTAAGCAGTCCTATTACAATACAGAAACTTACTAACCTAGTAGAAGTGATAATTATGTTAATATCAACGTGTCAAAGAATGGGAGTGATAACTAATCACGAAAGTTAATACAACCATTCGAAGGTGGAAATTTTGCGAAAACTGAACAAGTGAGTAACATAATGCCAAATTCTAGAAAAAAAAAAGTGATTACGCAATAACCAATTATAAAAGAAGTGGTTTGAGTAATAAGTCATTTAAAAGGAATCCTCTCTCCTCCTAACTGTCTTGATATTCTGCCTGATTCTTCTTGAATATATCCGAGGAATAAGGACTGAAACAGTGAGCATACCGAATTAAGTAGAGATAATTAGTCTTGGACAAGTTTACACATCCCTTAGGAAAATACAAACGCTAAAATGACTTTATATATTACTGGTTGATTGACATAAGTAATTGAACACCATTCACATCAACCAATAGGACTTGCTAACCAGATAGAAATGACCCAATCAACAGATGTCGTTTGAGTTCGAGCTTATCACAGAGGTGTGTCTACTTTGGCTTAGCTGAGAGAAACGAATCAGGTGAAATCAGCCGAATTCTACCTAGCTACTTGGACAGACTGACAGCACACTGAATCACATTTACGATTTGCACATTACACAGTTTGAGGTTAAACTTCAACATACCGTCTATATCATTTTCATTTGATTAGCAAGCACAACTCGAAGGGATATAAAGTAGTATCCAACTACTGATGTCATTCAGTCAGTAGTATATCTAGACATGCATTCATAAGTGTTTTTAGGAGTCTTTAGAAATACAAACTCACAGTCTCCAGAGCTCTTGGTGAGTATATTTCATCACTCATTTATTCAGAATATAAAACAAGGAATAAAGTACAATGAATTCATCAAATTTCGGTAGAACTCTGTGTGCAAAAGGAGGTGGTCGTGACTCTGAATCTACCATGGTAATACGTTTTACTTATTATTCTACCTCTTATTATTATTATTCTTGATTCATTTAAAACTATGCTTCATTAGTAGGATTATGTTAACTCACTTTAACACTATTATTATTGCTATTATAACTATTATTATTGATATTACTGTGTTTGCAATTCTTGTTTTATTCTCTAATGTCTAATTGTTTATCTAAGTGATGTAATTGAAGCGTAATGCAATTCATCTTAATTTTGATCTCTCATACTCTCTCTCCCCTTATCTATTTGAACATGACCTGGAAAACATTCTCACCTGTCTTTCTGCATGACTAACTCAATGTAGTTTATTTGCTTATCAGTCTTATATCTCCCAACGTAATTTCAAAAGTATATATACCAGTGTATGTAGAGTATTCAGTTGACGAGTTCCACTGAAATTTGATGAATTCATTAAATTATCCTGCTTTGTTAACCTTTATGCTTGTTTTAAATTCGTATCGGGGAATAAATGTATTCAGAATATGTACTATTCGAACAAGATTTTCAAGCAAAAATAGTATTGAATAATAAATTGTGTAACAATAGAGTGTTGTTCTATCCGAAAAATACTCAATCCTCAATGATATTCTTTTCTCATTTCTTTTAATGAAAAGTACTCTGCATTACGTTAACAAAAACCTAAAACTGTTCTGGGGTTCATACAGAGATTGAAAAATAAAACCCAATCAGAAATGGAGAAGAGTTTATACACATTATGCTTGATGAAAATTTTAGTAGCCTAGTGAATTAAAAAGGCGGCCTAATATCTATCAGTTTCTCAAAAATTCAACCAAATTACTATATTATGAATAATACATACATAAATCAATAAAAAACTATATACTACTAATAAAAATGATATCAGTAGTTGTGTGTCGGTGGCATAGCGGTTAGGACGCTCGCCGACCATTCACATGGTCCGGGGTTCGATCCTCGGCCGACGCACTCGTTTACCTCGCGAAGCCAGAAATAATGCTGGTAAGGAGGAAAGGTTGGGCATGAGGCTAGCAACCTCATCCTGTAAAATAAACACTGCTACAGAAGCTTCAAGTCACTAGCTTGAAGCCCTATGTTCCACTGGGGAACGTGAAGGAAAAAAATAAAATAAAAAGTTGTAAACTACTCCCACGAATCGGTAGTGGTTCTTGGTAGGCAGATCATTTTAAGGTTGAGTTCACCAGTGGTGTACCCAGTCGATTGGAATCACTTCAGAGAACTGAATCCCCTCAAACCGTCGGATTTCTGATGAAACTGCTAACTAATTAGCACATCAAGTCAGTCAGAGAACAACACACCAATAGATATCGATAAAAAAATTTTTATAACACAAATACAACCATAATCAACTTCGCTAATTCTTATATAATTATATTAATTATAATTATTAATTACATTTTGATTAAGGAAAAATAACTTATCATCACTTACCATCCAAATCTTTTACCAACTACACATTGCCATGTACCACCGAAACGTTTATCAAATTCTTTTTTAATATACTTAGCTATCTCTCTATCCTCTGAAAATCGTTCACATGCAGCAGCACAACAATCAACTGCTATACTCTGCATTGATTCAGGCATATCAGTTGATTTAATTCTTGCAGTTTCATTAAAATCACTAGATGTATCCATAATATATGAAGAATATTATTTTCCCAATAATCGTACTATGTAGTAATTGTATCTTATATAAATATACTAAGTTAGATATAAATTTTGGTGTGATTATGATAGACGTATAGTGAGTTTTAACTACTTGAAGAGTTTTATTTCTACAAATAAATGTAAATCGCGTAGGTGGATTAGTCTATGGATAGATAGACAGACAGGTAAAGTATATGGCTGTACAGACGCACACATATGCACACGCATGCAGATACCTCTATTTATGTATGTGTGTCGGTGTACCTGTATGTCATGCGTATGTGCATAAATACATATATATACACGCATTCTTGAGCCTATAACAATATTCATAAACTGACAAGCCACCACTAAAACACTTCTTATTTACGTGAGTAACACATTAAAGCATAATTTGATAAATTCGGATCTAATTTATCATCTTCCAGAAATATTATTTTTTTTAACCAATTCTAATCAAATTTTTGATAATATTAAAAATTTTTTAATTAATTAAGGTTGGTAATATGATAACAACGGTTATGTTGATTTAATATTATTCTAATAACTTTTTAATGTAAGTAGAAATAGATAATATTTAAACTGAATGCCAAATAATCTAAGCCGCTTGATTTATAGCCGTAAATTCATTGTTTATTTATGAATTCATTATTGGCGTCTCCTATCAGACTCAATCCATCTATATATCATCATCCAAATAAACGTGTTTAACTATATACCTAGGAGTCTGCCTGTCTGCCAACTGTGATTAGATCAACATATTTTAGCATAAATTATTTATTTCATAGGAGTTGTGTAATTATTTACTAAGCGCATACAGGTACACACAGACACTTAGATATATTGGATGGAGGATTTCATCATTAGCTGACATCAGTTAGAGAACCACTGGAAAACCTGCAGGGATTACTGGGAAGCTGCTTCGTCCTAGTTCGGGACTCTTCATCAGTACGCACCCACGGCCAGGGCTGTAACCCAGGACCTTCTGATTACAAGGCTAGCGAGCTCTTAGACCATTGAGCCACTGGGACCCGATCCAGTGGCCAACCCATGAATTCTAACTTCTGCCAATTTACGACATAGCGCGACCATTTCACAATGTATGGTATATATATATATATATATACCATCTTGTCACACAGGTATTTCCAACGTGCTGCTGCAGACTTCCATCAACAACTGACTTCTCTGGCTCTATTCTGGATTAATTTTAGTGTGGATCTTGTCACACAACCAACACCAATTAGAGTTCATTGAAAATCAAGAAGCACTGGAAATCTGTTTTATCCTAGCTTGATACAAGTTAGAATTCATTGGGCGATTAAGTTCTTTTTCTTTGGTTTGTTCAGCAAAGAAATATCTCTTTTCAACGATTTCATTTTCATAGTTGTATGCAGTCGTATGTATATTACGGGAAAAGACATTAATTAACACTACAGACTGCTCAGTCAATATTGTACATATGATGATAAGAATAAAGATAATTAAAATGATGTATTAAAGGGGTAGAGTTGAAGTGGATGAATTTAAAAGTTTTAAAGATTATTAAATAAGTGAATTGATATAAAGCTTTTAAAATTGTAGGTCAAGTGTTGTCTAAAAAATCAACAGTACGATGATGATAACAATGAAGACAGCGAAGGTGAAGTGAAGTGGAATGGATTCAAGTGGTAAAATAAAATAAAAGAACATTACTATGACCAAGGTAAAGAAAGGAGTTCGACAAACCGTTTTTGAACACGTGATTTAGGTTTCTGTTCATGAATACCTAGAGTTTCGGCTATGCATAAGTGGAGAAAACGTAAGCTTTTGAAGTAACTGGATTTGGTCCTTTATATAACTTTGAAGGATAAATTAGGTGTGGTGGGCTGAATAACCTGACTCCAGAATGTGTTCACAAAGTGAAGACTTTGTCGTCCTATGGTCATTTTTCATTAACGAAACCGAGTGGTAGTGTTCAGCTACACGTTTACAAGAGAACACAATTACAACATCCAATGTAATCATCTCTACATCAGTATGTGAATGATTATGTGCACATAGAGGTGGACATAAGCGGTAGTTTATCCTTAACACACTGTCGAATCATATTTCGGCTGATAAGTACTAAATGTAAGTCAAGTGCATAAAAACACCGTTTGATACATTTAGATAAACGACTTTTAATTACTTCAGAAATACTGTCACCTTTGAAAGTCAAACTCACAAATAGCGTCTTCTTCGGCACTTTGATTTTTATTTTTTTTATTTTTTTATTTTTGATTACAGCTTGATTCCACACCGTATTTTTGGTACAACTGTGGAATTTTCAGCGTGGATATCTGGCTGGGAACTGGTTCTTTCTTGATGTTTTTGTCAATAAGCCTTCAAGGATATCTATTATTTAAGATAGTCGTACAAAGGCTTCCTACTTCTAAGTCGATCGCATCTACAGAGCAAATTTTCCGAATTCCGGAGCATACAGAACGGATAAAATTTCTCTTCCTACCTAGAGGTAGCCAACTGTTAAAGTTAGTGTAATGACCTGTCAATGCTGGCTTTCGGTAGATCAACCTTTTAAAGTGCCAACCTCTCTTCTATCGAGCATCACATCTAAGAAGTGGAATGAGGAGTTCGACTCTCTTTCCATAGTGAAAAGCAAAGATGAGTGAGAACCATTATATTTTCTAAGAAGTTCGGCTGTTGAGCAGTTTTCATTACAAATAATAAAGGTGTCAACAATATATCGCTTATATATACATATGCAGACGAAATTGTTTCTTTTAATGGTCCCCTCTCCAAGTTCGCCATAAAGACGTCCGCTAGGAGAGGTCCAAATGCAGATCCCATCTCTTTGGTTATAGGTGAAATCATTAAATCTAAACTGCACATTAAGCGTACATTTCAATAAAAGCTGTTTCAGATAGTTAGTCGGCTCTCCAGCATTCTAGATCAATATAATCACATAAATAACAAATAGCTTAAACTAATGGTACATTTGTAAACATGTCATATGTGTATTGACTGAGAAATTCCTAGTGCCAATTGAAGCCTTTTTCCATAATATAAATACAACTGTACAGATTGAAAATGAATTTGTTTAAAAGATATATTTTTTCGCTGAACAAAAAAAACTGCGTTTTTCCATATGAATTAATGGGTATATTTCACCACTGATTCCTTTGCCCAACAAGCTTCTTCTATTATGCTGAAGGTCCTGGATTCGATTGCTGATAGGGTCGAGCGTGTGAGCTACCAAACAGTGCAGACTAGAACGAAACACCTACCCAGAACTCCCTGATCTCTGACTGGTGTTAGTTCACGATAATAACGTCTACGATGAGGAAAAAACTATGTTTACCACTGAAAACTAGACACAACGGGAGAATGACGTTCGCTACGTGAGTTCGAGTTCTTAAACACCATCTAGCCAGTAGTTAGCTAGGAAAAGATATAGGGTTGGCCGTGAGGCTGTTAAGCTCCTTTTGTAAAGAAGCTTCAAGGGTGTAAGCCCTATGTTCCACTTGTAACGTAAAGAATCCAGAAAATGTCACATTCTCAACTAAAGTTGTCTACAAAAAGCATCATATTTTTTATTCGGTCAGTGTATTTTTATTTTTGTCTTCAGTGTGAGTGGTAACATACATCAGGAACTTCCAGAAACAAAATAACACTCCTCAAATCCAATCACCTATGAATATTGAAACATTATTTATTTGAGTGGTTGGTGGAAGATTGACTGATACATATGAAGTGTAGTGAAGTGAAATTTAGTGTCTTTTGTAAGATTCCGCGTCAGATCACAAAATGACATCAGTTAGAGAAGCATTGAAAACCAACACAGAGTGCTGGAGAGTTTGTGACTGTTAAGCAGTACTCACGCATGATCCCACCAGTGATGGAACCCAACACCTGCAGACTGCCGGGCAAGCTTTGTGACCATTAAGGTGGAAGTCAACGGCCCATGAATTCTACCCTCTGCCAATTTGAGTTATGTAGTGCAGCAGAATGACAGGCATCGTAACCTAAACGTATTATTGAAGACTAAACAGCTCTCAAGTATTTTCTGGTTCTCAGCTGTTCTCCAAATGATTTCAGTTCGTGACCAAACGTGAAAAAGAAAGTACAGAAACTAGATGTTATCATTTAAGAATTTGTTCAAAAGGATGATTATTCCGGAAAGCTGGTTTCCAGGTAAACTCTGTACCACAGATGTAAGAAGCTAGCAAAAAGGAACTTGCATTTCCAAAATGGTTTTAGTTAAATAAGGTAGAGATTTCAATGAAATTACATCCATTATACTCAGTAAAAACCATGAATGAAGCAATTACTCGTTTCATATAAAGTATAATTATATTTCAATAGTTTACACACAATGATAAGTTTTGTTATTGGTAATATTTCGGGCAAAATTACTGCCCGTGTTCACACCACTGTTGGTATTGTTTTATTCATCTTATCTATTTGTTAGTCGGAATTTCGAAGGACTGATCTGTTTATTAATCTACAATCGATAGAGTCTTTGAATTTTCATTTGAGCTAGTAATGTAGGGCGATGAAAACTGCTCGACTGGCTTCCTTGAGACGATACTAACTGATAGCTGGAAACTTTCAGTAACATACGGTAAAAGCTTTTTCAATAGCGCAGATACTTTCAATCTTTGTAACCTCCCAAACCCATTAAATCAGCATGTTTTCTCATGTTTCTGTTCTTTCTCACATGCCATTTCATCCATTATACTTCTTACTGCTTTATGGAGTATGGCATTTTGAATTGGCGCACTTTATTGCAAAGTTGTACGCTGATAAGGTGTTTAATAGAACAAACAAAAACCCATAAACAGTCATTTACATTTCACTTATTTGTTAATCTGTACACTAGGCATGTTAAACACATCACAAATTGGTAGGAGTTATAATTCATGGCCTGGTGGTAACTAGTTTGCCTTGTAACTTAAAGGTGGTGGGTTCAGTTCCTGATGTCATCATGGCTGCTTTAAATTAGGTTGAAACAGTTGCCTAATACTCACTAATTGTCTTTTAACACGAAACTTTGCACAGAAGGACAGCAATGCAAGTTACCACACTTAATGCAGTACACAAACGTGAAGAAGTAATTCAAAAAACTGTAATGAGCAAAATTGTATGGAAGAGAGAAGAGTAACGCGGAAAAACATGAGGATTTAAAGGATCTTTGAGATTACAAAGGGGGAATGGATTTGTTTGGTTTGTGGATTTCATCATGAGCTGACATCAATTACAGCACCATTGAAAAACCTGGGAGTACTGAAAGGATGTTGTTTCATCCAAGTTTGGGACTAATCGGCAGTATGCACCCACTGGGATTCGAATCCACGGCCTTCCAGTTACAAGGTGAACTCTTACATCATTCAGCCACTTGGACAAAACAGCTGCCCAGCACAACTAGGTTTGCCAAACTGATTTCAGTTCATGATGAAATCCTCCAACCAATCAAACAAAATCCCTACAAAACCAGTAATTGAATACATTTACACAACTGAACGCATTTTGAACCGGATCACCGGCAGTCTTAAGCTATTGATTCTTAACACCCTAAGGATTCCAGTCAGGCAGAAACCCCCCCCCCGCTGCATGGCTACCTCAAACCAATTAACAAAGACTCGATATAATGATGATAAGTTTTTATTTCACCACCTTGTGTTTTTCATTGCTCAAAGAAGTAGACTGGTTGGCATAAATGACAGGAGCTAATTATCTCAATCAAAACAGCTCACACCGCTTCATTAATTGATTTTCTCTCTATACCCAGCATTTTATGCCATTTAACACGAGACAGAGATTTCAAACATCTGTGGTCAAAGACAGTTAGCCTTTTCAGGTATTCAACTTCAACTTCCGCATCCCAATGGTGGATGGTGAATGGGTTCCCCACATAATCTGAAGGTTCTAGGTTCAATCCACAGATGACTGGTGAGTGCTTACTGCTCAACAGTCCCTAACTAAGACAAAACAGCTCTCCAGTACTCGTTAGTCTAAAATAGTTCTCTAACTCATATCGGCTCGGACTTCTAAGAAATATACACCTTAGGTGACTGGTGGAAGCAATTGAATCGCTTGACGTTTGTTTTACACAAGACAGTAGAGTGATACTGAAAAAATCAACTGACGAAATATACTTCACGGGAATTTTCTTAATTGTAATATTAAAAACGGATTGTTGTATTCAAAATAATCATAAGTCAAGCTAAAACAACTGTTGTCTTCATATAAAAGGTATCAGACAACAACCATTTCCTACTCTTTTATTCTTGCTTTAACAACGACGACAATTCCTCAGAAATTAGCTTCTTTTTTCATTCCTTTGTGTTCTCACTGGAGCATAAAGCTTGAAAAAGCTTGTACTTAGAGGTTTCAGTAACAGACGTGTTCAGTTTCTTTTTTAACCGAATGGGTTTGCTATCTTCACACCATCTCTTAATTGAGGTTACTCCATGGCTAGGCAAGGATATTATAAATCACAAATAGTGTATGCATCTGCGCCAGCCATTGAGAACAATTTTGAGTCATATCACCAATTTTCTCCAGCCACTGGTTTTCTCAACACCCCAAAGACCCCAACCAGCTCAGAAGTCTACACTCCCCTATGTGGCTGGCTGAAACTATCTGTTGTGGATTTCATTGACTGATGAGCCATGTTTTAGTTTAACCACAGCTGATTTCTTTCCAACGTGATCCCATGTCAGTCAGCTAACACTGCCCGTCAAGAGAGGCAGACGATGGCTAGGCTTACGGAACACATGTCCTAACCATCTCTCTTAATCGACGCAACTTCACAGCCTCGTCAGTTGATTTTCCCTCCTCCTTACCTAGTAGTTGACGCATAACCTCAATATTGCTCACCTAATTACACCACTTCACACGGGAAGTGACACATATATGAGAAGCCTTGAAACTTAATAATTACCCTGATAAATTAGTCAGGAAATATGTAGAGAAATGTAAAAATAAAATAAATAATGATGATGATAATAATAATATTGATACTAATGACGACATGCATGTCAAATATACGCAAGACAACACCAACAATAATGAATCCAAATCATCAGTAGTAATTTCATACAAGGAAGGAACCTCGGAGACCTTACGCAGAGTTCTTAACAAGGTAGGAGTAAAACTGGCATTCAAACCGACAAGCTCAATTAGAAACAAGCTTTGTCGGTTAAAGAATCAATCCTGTGGAGCCTTTAAGACAAAACAATTTAGTTTATCTAATTACCTGCAACGACTGTCAGGTCAGAACAGTAGAACGGGACCAGTCAGACTAGTGGAGCTTAAAAACTTTGCAAAATCTTGATCTGTTGACCCTAATAAGATAAGAAATCTGGAGAATAGTTCAACCATAGCACTCACTACATGCAATTACACACAACCATACAAACAGATAATGGGATAGGATGACAGTTTTAAAATCTAATGTAACAGCCTGGTGGAGGGAGAGATTGATAACAGAAGCTTTGTTTATCGGATGAACTGCAAATACGCGTAATAGGAATGATTCAACACCTGTCCAGCCAGACATCTGGAGAATACTGCTCCCCCAAGGATGACAAATAGGAGAGAACAAATAAAACTATAAAACTCAAGTTCCGAAGTCGTGTGATTATAAGTGATATGACTATGAACAGTAAATTTTGTTCGACACGTCATCCAGTGAATAATACTGTCTCTTCGCTGTGTGATACATCTAATAAACAAACTAATATAGTTTCATTTCTATCTGTACAGCAATCATCACTGGTTGATGAGGGTGGTTTCCACCTACTACTCATGGAGCGATTAATCAGTAGTACATATCATCGTGTAAATATCACTATGGTTTGGTTAATTAGGCTATATTTGCTCTAAATACTACCTCTACTATGTATCTCAATGAATACTCTTATTCAGTAATCAACATCTATTTCAACAATAAAAGCATGTGGGATACAAAACATTGAAAGCAAGAAGTTGACAACAAAAATTACAAAATCACCTAGATTTATTATTATTTTTTTTATATTATACACCATGTAAACTATATCAAAAGAGGACAGTGAAAGCACAGTTCTAATTAAACTATACAACCCGGTTCATGGTCTAAATCAGATATTAACAATTCCAATTGCGGAGAATCAGTCCCAGAACTAGGAAGTGTGGTTAACAATTGTCGAAAGTCAGGAATAAATCTATCCTTGAAAAATCCTCTCTCTGTTACTGAATGCCCAGCCAATATTACAGAGATACCACGAGAAACTGCTTCAAGACGATCATGATGTGATAATTCACCTGTAATGAATAGATCAGCAGTTAAAGCAAGCGGTGTTTGACAAAGAAGTGATCCACCGGATCCAGCGCATACTGCAACCGTTTGAATAGGATGATCTATAAAACAGAGAACAGTTGGGGGGAGGGAATTTAAAATCGTATGAACAATAATTTTTATGAAAAGTAAACATATAAGTACAGAAAATATTTAGCTGAATGGAATAATGTAAACGTAGTGCATTAAAATTTGCACCACAATCACTAAGAAATCTGGTCACCTTGCAAGGGAGGGGGTTGCTGGGCCAAGGTGTGATGATTAGGCATTTATACAGTATTTAAAACAAGCAACACGGGCTAATAAAGCAGGATTTAATGAATTAATCAAATTTCGGTAAAACTCATCAACTGAATACTCTACATACACGGATATGTATACTATTGAAATTACACTGGGAGATATGTAACAGAAGACAAGGGCCAGGCAACAGATCGTTTTATTATGAAAATCAACACGTATTTATACATATTTCACATACATTATTATAGACAAGCGCAGTCATCTGATTGGTTGTTTATCAGAAGTTAGGCAGACAAACGCAGGCTTCTGATTGGTTGTTTCGGGATTCCTCGACAAATAGAGTTCTCTATCTGCGAATCATATTTTGCCACGTTAACTTTGCTGTGATTGGTTGTTGAATCAGCCTTGCTCATATTTTCTCACGGCCTGCTCTCACCACAGATATATATGACTCATAAGCAAATAGACTACATTGAATTAGTCATGCAGAAAGACAGCTGAGAATGCTTTCCAGGTCATGTCACTATCAATGCACTAAATGATCTAGTGAAATTGAGGTGTAGGACTGCTAGACACTGCACGACGAGATTTTTGAAGGAATTTATACAGTATTTACAGAATAAAATGGTTTCAATGTACGCTGAGGATAACATAATAACAATAATAATAATATACTTTATTCCAAAAACAGTACTTATAATACAAAATGGAATTCTCAGAATTTGTCACAATATATGGCATCTGATTTACTCAAAATATAAATAAAACTAAAAATTAAAACAAAATTAACTAGGGTAATTTGTCCACGTTTACGATATAAAGTCGAAAATATTCGAAGCATGAATTGAGATTAAATATAATAATAATAACAATAACAGTGAGTTTGTTTCAAACAGTATTGTCGATTCAGTTTCGAAACTTTAAGATGTTATTATCGAGTATTGAATCTAATGTTCTGTTGATATAGTATAGTGAGGGGAAATACAAAATTAACAGTTCTAACACAGCTTAAATTATGTTCACATTTATGAAAAAAATAAAATCAAAAAATTGAGAGAATTATAAATATAAGAAATGCAATAACAATAAAGTTCGGTACTATAAGGGTGGAAGAAATGGTCTATTTAGTAGTGCAAAGAAGGTTAGTTAGTTCATGCCTGACACTATTTTCATCACATAAAGTACGTGCCAAATAACGCATAGTGGAATTTTTATACTCACGTACGTGCATAAATTCTTCTGAAAAGACTTCTTGTTTTACCTGAGGAGACACAAGGTTGGAGCTGCGGGTGCTGTGGTGGATGCTCACAGTCTGACAAAATTCCTTTAGCAAATTTGTTGCATGAAATCAAGTGCTTATCAGTAACGATGTCAACGATGTGGTCTAATGGGATACCACTTGCCCTGCTGACAGTCTTCAGAGTTCTACGAAGTATGACATAGTCTTTTTTAAGCAATCCAGGAAAGAATAAGGGTGAACAGTAAAGAAGAATAGGTAAAATACACGAGTTGACAAACTGTAAGAGGAGTGGTTGGGTTATGCCTAAGTGCCTTAACTTCTTAATGTAAAAAGTCAGACGAAATATTCTTTTAGAAATCGCTAAGACATGGGAATACGAGGATAGGTCAGAAGAAAGAATTAATCCAAGATACTTAACTTCAGACTTGATTTCTATATCAGTGTCATCAATTTTACAAGGGTCATAAGAACTGACAGCTTTATTTAACTTCCGTTTACATCGGAAATTGAAATTAACAGTCTGACATTTGGAAGGATTTAGTTTAAGGCCGTTAGACGAAAACCATTTGCTAATTCCTGATAGAAAGCTGTTCATCTTAGCACAGTCAAGCTGGGAGTTAACAGACAATGAAATAGTTAGATCATCGGCATACTTAACAAAGTTCATTTCATCAGAGTGATGTAAATCATGCAAAAAGAAGGTAAACAGAAAAGGAGAAGGTACAGTGCCTTGAGAGACACCAGTCTCAGTAAGCGACGAAGTGGAGGACTTTCCCTGACATACAGGGTACTTCTTTCTTCCTGAGAAATAAGAATACAGCCATTTGACAATCCAACAGTCAGATTGACTTTCGGCAAGCTTGTTTAACAAAATATCCCTGGGTACTGAGTCGAAAGCAGATGCGTAATCTAGGAAGGTTCAGCGAACAAATTTAGCTCCCTTGTCTAAGCTGAAGACAATGTTATAGTACAAGACTGCAACTGCATCTAAAGTACTTTTACTGTGTTTATAGGCGAATTTAACGATGTGTGACATCATCTGTCAGGTACAAGGGTGAAATCCTAATGAGAAACGAGTTGGCCATTTGTCCGAGGTTGACATAGAGAAGATCGTGTCAGGAGAAAATGAAGTCGTGAGGCCAACAGCAGAGGATTGCAGAGAATAGGACAAAATGAAGATGTCCTGTTGAAGTTCTCTACATTCCACTCGGAACCCAAGGGATCATTATTATTACTAAGAGGGAAAAGGAACTGATTAGACTCTCTGAGGAAATGAATAAAACTAGGTGCACGGCTAAGTAGCCCGCTTGTGAAAAGGTTTTTTAGACTGTTTGGTGTTTAGATCACATCAATCTGGTTATCAAGCACTGTTGACCGATGCGAGTAGTATTCAACCATTCATAAATCAATCAGTAGTATACAACATGAGGTTAGAAAGACAAAGAATTTAACCAGGAATTAGAGATATGAGGTAAGAAACAGTAAAAATCAAAACCTCCGAAAAAATTAGTTTATAAGTTAGGACATAGGATACACACATCCACCTCAAGAATATACAGATCATATAGAGACTATGTCAATTTAAACCATCGTATTATTTATATACAAACTTCCGTTTAAGAAAACTTTCCGCTATTTTCATTCATTTTTCCGGTGAGTGATTTCTCTGTAATACATAACAAAATATAATAAAACTTCATCAAAGGAAACTGACATAATCCATGATCACTCAAAATGATTTAACCCACTTATTTAGCGTAAAAAGTATTACTGCTGATAATAAAAGGCCAGGGAGCTTATACTACTTACTAGTAGTCAGTAACGCTAATGATAACAATGAAAGTGACACAATAAAAGACTTAAATCGTCATCTACACCAATCGAAACATAAGAAAACTGCTGCGTTCTACATTCAAAACCAGTCACTCCCGCTGACACGATAACCAAAATTTAACAAACAATCAATACAAATTCAGGTCGGTTTTAGTGAACTTGGGATTGCTGGACAGTAGTGTGAATCACAAAAAAGACATCTATTTCAATTCAGCCATCAATATGGGTTGTCAATATTAATAAATTGACAACCACTATATATCAGATGACAACGAATATTCCACGCCGAACAACGAGAACATTAGGACGGAACTAATTGAATAACAACTAACAGATGTTCTCAGAATGTATGAAAAACGACCGTCTGATAACTGAGGACCTGACAGGATCAACACTATTCCCCGACTCTACGGCTCACTAAAGGTGCACAAACCTGGCTTAGTGTTTCGACTAATTCTAGACATTTCAGGGTCACCATACCATCCAATCGCCAAATGGCTGTCCAAGATGGTGGGACCTGTAAGACAACACTTATGCAAGTAATCCCTTCGTGACACTTTTGAGTTTGTTGAATTCATAAAAGATTTGAATGTAAATGGTAAACGAACGTTATCCCTAGACGTCGAATCTCTCTTTACCAATGTGCCACCAACAAAAACAATCTGCTTCCTGTGCAATTATATGGAGAATTGGAATATAAGCATCGGAATACGAACATCATATCTGAAATAATTGTTGCTGAGATGCACGCTGAATGTACAATTCACCCTCAACGGTGACATCTACAAACAGGGAGATGGAATCATAATGGGATCTCCTCTTGGCCCGCTTTTAGCAGATTGCATTATAGCCAGTTTGGAAAGCGGCGTTTTAAAATCAACAATAAAGAAATTATTACTGTACAAAAGGTACGTCGACGATACCTTTATAGTCTGCTACGATAACTATGACTTCAATTGTATCTTACACGAATTTATAATTCCCATCCTTCGATCAAATTCACAATGGAATTAGAAAACGATTCAAAGATTCCATTTCTAGACGTGAAATTAGCAAGAAGAGATGATGAAACCCTGAAGAGATCCATCCACACGAAACTAACGTGAAATGGCCAACTAACGAACTTCTATATTATTATATAATAATAATAATATTAATAATAATAATGGTATAATTCTATATTATATTATTTCAATTTGTTTCCATGCTCGTTTTGTTCACACCTGTAATTCATTCCAATCCTGTGTAATTTTGTTTCTAAGCCTCTCATAAACAATATGTAGTTGAAAATAATTGTCACCTTTTATTCACCGATGTAATTATGTGGGCTCAGAAAAATAGTTGTATTTATGTAAATTTATGTATCTAAATGCGATTGTACAGATTTGGAAAAGAAATCGCCGAAAAGATATCTTTACTGAACTTCATGCTCTCTTCTTTTTAATGTCCTTATGGGTATTTTCCACGATCTGAGGAAGAAACCTACGATTGATGAACTCTCTGAGGGTTTATGATTAGATTTCTTTGCTTATCTCGACAGAGTTAGCCATAATAGAGAGGAAAACAGGCGAATGAAACTTATCAAAATCCCGAAGAGAATTTCCCTTCGGACCCGTGTCGGTATATATCCTTAATTTTTCCAGTGTCATACTTTGTAAATTACAGATAGAAACATTATCATTTGGTCTTAGATTTTGTGATCAAGGATATAAGATCAACCAACTCGATACCTATATCCAGTTTGAAAACCTTCCCCTACAAAGAAAAGCCTTGATCCCATCGTCAGACGATGAACTCGCCAGATTTAAAACTACACCAGTCGACAGTTGTCAGCAGTATAGAAACAATAGTCATTCTAGCAATAGCTTGCTAACTAAACTACATCGAGAGGCCCTGAGAAAGTTAAGGAACAGTGAAAACATTGTGAACAGTAGGCCTTGTATAAGAGTCGGAGTAGTATTGACAAATAAGTGTGATTACGTTGACAAAGTGAATTTGCTTCTAACCGATGGAACGAAATTCCAAAAGCTTAACTCAACAGCTCTAGACGGAAAGGCTGAAAAGCAGCTAACAAACACGCCTAAGGAGTTGAGGAAAAGTGGAGTAATCTCAGAGACAGCCTACAACCGTCTTAAACCTACAGGAATTGATACTTCATGATTGTACGGTCTCCCCAGAGTACATAAACCATGACTCCCTCTTCCCCCCGACTTAGACGTGTCGAATTCCACCCATCATGGAGTGGCAAAAAAGCTAGGGGAACTCCTCCAATCGTTACACAAGAATATGGAAAATCACAGTGTTAAAGACGTCTTTGAATTAATTACTAACGTACATGATATCAATTTAAGTGAGAAGCAAAGCCTATCCCTAGATGTCGCATTACTGTTCACCAATGTACCACTTGTGGGGACTGGAATTCCAATTAGTATTCTAAGAGACACTATGAATGTACGCTTCACATTTAACAACCTTATTACAGACATGTTTTCTCCATTGGGTCCAATTTCGGCAGATTTCTTTCGTGCTAAGCTTGCAAATGGTCCATAAGAACAAGTAATAGATAAAATGGATTCTTATTTTCGGTAAATTGCTTATACGTTTATTACTCTTGATGAGAAAGCTGAGAAGAATGAAATGCTAACGCAATTTAATGACGCACATCCATCGCTCATCTCCACTTGTGAAGAAGAGCATGAGGGCAGATTACGCTTTTCTTTCCTTGATGTCCGACTGAGCAGAGGAGAGAATGGTTCCCTCAAGAGAGATGTCTATAGAAAACCTACATCTGTAGGACAATATAAGCATTTCTTCTGTTTTGTACCAATCCGATACAAAATCAATTTAGTCAGATGCCCCAGGAATATAGCTACAAGGATCTGTACAGATGACTGTCTAGGATACATGCCAAGTACGCTGACCCAAATGGGTTATCCTAGTAGATTTATACCGAGACAAATGAACACCGTGTATAATAAAGAGAAGCTGACAACAGTTAAGCATAATCAAATTTTTATGAAACTGCAATTCAATGGGGACGTGGCTAGTAAAGTCTTTCATCTGTAGCAATAAAATGGGCTTATACTGCCGCCACCCTTTGTTTGTCATTTTTCAGCTAGCCCATTATGACTGCTCAAGTGAAAGACAAGCTGCCTAGTTGTGCCAATTCTATGTGTATTTACAAAATTAGCTGCTCGTGAGGAGAGAGCTATATAGGGCGAACAACTAGACAGTTCAGCAAACCTGTTACTGAGCATTTTCCTCCATGGTTCAGAAAAGGTCAAGTAAAATCTATAAGAAGTTCTATTTTGTCTCACTTCATCGGTAGCGGTCACCAAGTGAACAGAAGGAGTGTCTTCAAAGTTATCTATTGCAATTCATCGAACTTTTCGAACGGAATACATACAGGCCTTTTGCACATAACCGAAGCTACGGGAATTCGATACAACAATCCTAGTTTTTGCATAGAACAACAGAAGTTTGTTCTACTTCTGTCTTTGCCTTGCTTCGCCCAGGTAAACTCTAATTAAAACCCTCCCACACACTTTCTTATTTCCCATTTCCTCCGTACTTTTATGAAATTTATTTAGACTCTGTTTATCTGTCCACTTTACCTTTAGTATTACCTAACTTTTAAGATTAGACATAATTTATTTACTGAACTGTCTACACGCACACACAGACATATTACTTCCTTCGCCATTCTTGTCAGCACCTACCTGCATAAGCCTTATTATCATTATTTTTGTTAGGATTACAACCATTGTTATGACTGACAACATTCGGAACATTTTACACTTTATTCTTACTATTGTTATAATTTCATCCACAAACTCACCGTCATTGGTTAGATTGTTTTCACATATAAAGCTGTGTAAGTTAGAGTAAAGCCTGAAGAAGATCTAATTGAAAACAACAATATTGTTCGCATATATATGTCTGGTTCATGACAAGTGGTTCACACTACTTATTACTATTAAGTAAGAAGGTCAGTCATTATAAAAATAAATGTCGTACCGGAGAGAATATTGGTGATAAAATTCAAATAGGTAACACAACTAAACGTATGAATGATTAACAACAGTTAACAAATAACTCAGTTATATCGATAGTTTTGCATGCTTTGAATTTCGAGTGGACTATAAAGAGCTTCAATCTCTAGACTTTGAAGTCTGTTTCGCGCGGTGTCGTTTTCAATGGAATGATGTTACTAGACTGATGCCCATGCCCACATTCTGTCTTTTCTTGCTTACCTAGCCGTCAGATGCAGTTTAGGACTGCTTACAACGGAGATTAGACCTGAACTAAGCAAATAAATGCATCTTCACATTGTGGAATTTCGCCTTATTTAATTCGATTCGAACAGTCAATACTGTTATAAACTTGAAATTAGGAACATGAACCTAATTGTAGCTACGGAATAACCTAAACAGTAAGCTCAGATTGAATACGAAAAGAATTAATTTTGTCAAATTACTCGCAGGTGAAAGGGTTGAAAGGAGCCTTTCCCCAGTTGTAAATCGATACGTCAACATTTTTTTAGTATTGTGCTTAAGGCGTTTCAACTAGGTGTATTTTCTAAGTCCTAAATTTAGTCACTATAAGCGTCAAATGAGTCAATTAGACACTGATATGCAGTTTAAGAATTTGTACTCACCAACGGCGCATCTAATTCCATCATCTGATGATGAATTTACAAGGTTGGAAACTACGCTAATCGACAGCTGTTCAGAGGACAAAAATAACACAGATTCGGTTAACTGGTTATTGTCCAAGCAATACAGAGAAACCATTAAGAGAATTCAGAAGGAATGAAAACCCAATTATGCGCAAATCTGATAAAGGTGTGGCAGTATAGTGTTATTGGATAAAACTGACAACGGAATCTATTTTGAACGATTAAACGAAATTCTCATCTCTTGGTTATTCCGCAGATCTAAGTGTAAGTCAGGAAAAACTAATGACGGACCCTTTCAGAAAGTTGTACCAGAAGAAAATAACGTACGTATTTACAAATCGATGAAACCAATAGGGAATAACACTTCACGACTTCATAGTCTACTCAAAGTGCACAATCTGGGACTTGCATTTCGTCCATTTTTAGATATGTATAATTCACCGTATCATGTAACAGCAAAGTGGTTAGTTCGAATTCCGGGACGTTTGCATAAAGACCTTCTGAATTAAAGAAAAAATGATGTCTTTGACTTTATCTTTACAATACCTTGAGAAAATGTAGATAATAAATGTATGATATCCATCGATGTATCCTCCCTGTATCCACAAATGTAGCAATTCTTAAGATGGTGGGTTACATATGCGAAAAAAATATTGGTAGGCAAATGGAAATGGGAATCCCCCTGCGAATGACTGTGACTTAAACTAAGGATATGCTAGATAGCTATGCCACGCCTATGTGTATTTATCAACTGAATTGCTCCTGTAGAGACAGTCAGGTTGGGTGTGCACTAGTAGACAGCTCAGCCAACGTGTCACTGAACATCTCCCATCGAGGTTTAACAAAGGACAGATAAAAACCGTCTGAAGCTTTGTTTTGTAGCATTTAGTTGATAGTGGTCACTCAATTGACAGAACGAAAGGTTTCAAAAGGATTCATCGCATCCTCTAGAGTCTTCCTAAATGGTCTCCGTATTCATCAAGTGTATATGGCTATGGAGATTGGCAATCAGAAGAAGTTATTACAATCATTATCCTTCACTTGGACAATTAATAACAAAACACTTTCCCCGAAATTTAGCACCAATGCTTCGGTGGTGAAGTGCTTATCAGCTCCGTGAGATGTTCAGGTTCGAGTCCGTGCCTAAATGAACTCCTAAGCTCCACCCAGCTGGTAGTAAGCCCAGAAAAGAGGGAAGTATGTGTGAAGCTAGTAACCCCACTCCATAATTAAAAACAACACCACCGGTACAGAAATCTCAAGTCTAAAGCCCCATCATGTTCCACTGAGAATGCATGGGAATTGGAGAACGGAGAAAATAACTTGCGATTCCAAGACAAAATTGTTTAAAAGCATTCACAGAGATGGAGGGGAATAGGTGGCACAATGGTAGAATGCTCGCCAACCACGCATGTGGTCCGGTATTTAATTCCTGGCCAACGCAATCCTTTACCTCGCTAAGCCGGCAATAAGATTAGTAGTAAAGAGGGAAGGCAAGCAACTCATTCCCCGTAAAAATAAACACCACTGCTAGTAAAACTTCAAAGCTCTAGCTTGAAGCCCTATGTTCCATTGAAAACATAAAGAATAAAAATGAAGAAATGGGTCAGACGAATAAAGCATTGACCTTACCAAGGGTTTTATCTCTTCCCAGAGCTACAGTTAAATGCTCCAAGTTTAGAAACTTTTTGTAAGCAGCAATCACTGCTCTCAGGTGAACTGGAAACTGTAGTGTAACCAATCGTCCACATCCTTCCCCATCTGTCTATCGGAGAGCGATTATTTTCATAAGGTGCATATGTACCTTTTGGATTGTGTTTAAACTGACCAGTGGAATCTTAAGCTCCTCCATGACATCCATTGTACGTTTTAATTCGGACTCCGGACAAGTAACAACAGCTGATGTAACACTTACATCACTAAAGTAAGAAAAAAGCATAATAACACTAACACAACTTACCTTTGAATATTAGTTGTGCACACATTTACTCCTGTGGATAAAACAAATTCTGTGAAATTTTCACCCATCACTACAGTCAACTGAGCCAAAGTTTGACTGACTGCAGATGATCGAGATAGATTTGCTTTACTTTTCACAGCTACAACATAACATCAAGTAAACTGGAGGGGAAAAAAAGCCCATTTACCCAATGGTTCCAAAAGCCAATCATTAATTCCTCCAACTTTTGCATCAAGACCAGTGTGTGGTGAAAATACAGCGATTCGATTTTCTAAACAACGTACAACAATACGCTGTTTCCAATGTTGTTGTGTAATTCTCTTCAGAGGTGAAAATATAGGCGGATGATATGATATAATAAGACCAGTTTTTTCAGCGATAGCTTCATCAATTACTTGTTCTGTTAAATCATTGGTAAGTAAAACCTTGTTAACATGATGTGGAGGAGATGGCTCTACTAAAAGGCCAACATTATCCCATTTCTCAGCTAAATGAGGCAAACAATACATATCCAATAGTTGAATAATTTTTGATAGCTCCATTCCTCTGCTTGCCAATTTTGAAATAAACATAGTTTTTTTAAGTATTGGTTTGTTGTAGGGATTTTTGTTTGATTGCATGGAGGATTTGATCATGAGCTGACATCAGTTAGAGAACCACTGGAAAACCTGGGAGTACTGGACAGCTGTTTCGTCCTAGTTTGGGACTCCTCAGCAGTACGCACCCACCGGGATTCGAACCCAGGACCTTCTGGTTACAAGGCGAGCTCGTAGACCTAACTGATGTCAGCTCATGATCAAATCCTCCATGCAATCAAACAAAAAACCCCTACAACAAACCAATACTTAAAAAAATTCATCTGATGCTCACTAGTGACTGGCCCTATTCAGGCAGTTAACCTGGGGTTCTAGTGGGAAGCCGTGACCAGTAGGGTACAGCAGGTTGAAGATGAGGCAGTAACTCATCGAAGAAGACATTGCGAAGTGGTCGCGCTATGTCGTGAACTGGCAGAAGTTAGAATTCAAGGACCATTGGATCGGGTCCCAGTGGCTCAATGGTCTACGAGCTCGCCTTGTAACCAGAAGGTCCTGGGTTCGAATCCCGGTGGGTGCGTACTGCTGAGGAGTCCCAAACTAGGACGAAACAGCTGTCCAGTACTCCCAGGTTTTCCAGTGGTTCTCTAACTGATGTCAGCTCATGATCAAATCCTCCATGCAATCAAACATAGTTTTAATTAAATTGCAAAGTCTATGTGATGATTAGCTAATTAATGACATTAAGTTAAATAATATTGACTTCAGAATCACAAGAGAAAGAGCAATAGGAACTAAAGAGAATTACAAGCACACAAAAAAACTTGGAAGTAGGAGTATGGCAGGGCGTAACTTTTGGTTGCTTGATGTATTCTACGTTTGTGAAGTAATCGAACAAGGCAGCATATTTAGCCTGGAAGCAAATTAATGTAAGATAATTACAATGGTATTATACACCACCAATGAAATTCATAAATTTCATTTAAACTGTATTCACAGCACAGAAAATAAAGGATAAAAGCGGGGTAAAAACTGAGAATTAATAATAACGAGTGAGCTGTGGATGAGATGCAACACTATGTCACCCACTTTCTCCAACTATCCCTCACTTCCAATGAACGTTTCTCTGGTCTCTTCCCTCTAATCTTCAATTTCACAAGTTATATTACAAAGGACTAGTTTGAAGTACCTATTCAGTGAGAATTTAATCTAGTATGCTTGTTATGGCTGTCTGTCTGTTTTCGACATAGAACTTTGCACAAATGTGAGGAAGTTCAAGTCGCCACATTCCGTGTAGCACGCGAAGCAAGAGAAGAAAGTACAAGAAAAGCATAATAGAAACAGTGAGCAGAGGTGTGAGACAAAGGAGTAATAAAGAAATACAAAACAGTTTCATTGAAGATCATAAGTCACAGGGAGTGGATGCATCTGCGCCACTGAGAACGATTTTGAGCCATGTCACCAATTGTTTCCAACCATAGATTTTTACCGTCCCGAGGACCCCAGCCTGGAAGTCTACACCTTCCTACGTGGCTTAGACCAACTGTTGTGGATTTCATTGACTGATGCCAAGTTTTTCTTTGACCACCGCTAGCTTTTTTCCAGCCTGACCCTATATCCGCTAACATTGCTCGTCGAGGGAGGCGATGGCTTGGCATACGTAACACATGTCCTAACCATCTCAGTCTTTGTAGCTTCACGACTTCGTCGATTGATTTCCCCTGTTTACCTAGAACTCTACGCCTAGCCTCCATGTTGCTCACCTTATTATGCCACTTTACACGGGAAATAGAACGCAGGCACCTATGATCAAAGACAGCTAGTCTTTTCATGTCTTCCACTCTCAGTGGCCAGGTCTCACAACCATATAGGAGGACGGAGCGGACTGATGAGCAGTACACCCGCCCTTTGGTCGATAGTCGAACATCTCGTCTACGCCAGAGTCGGCGTAAACTAACAAATGCGAAACGAGCCCCTTGTATTCGTGCTGAGATTTCGTCAGAGATCAGCCCGTTGGGGCTGATGGTACTTCCCAAATAAGTGAAGCGGTCAACGTGCTCTACCACTTCACTTCCTATTTTTAAACTAGGCGTCGATGTAGTCCAGTCCTGTAACGTCATCTTGCATTTGGCGGGAGCTAATCGCATGCCAAACATTCGTAGATTGCGGCTCACCTAGGGTTAAGTCCATTAACACATCTATGATGAAGTTGAAAAGAAAAGGAGATAATGGGCATCCTTGACGGACACCACTGGTCGTCATCAGTTCAGATGACAGCTCGCCGTAAGCCCTCACCTGGCTGTATGAGTACGAGTAGAGTGCCTTAATCAGTACAATGTATTTTCTCGGAATTCCCTTTACAGCCAAGCATCTCCAGAGAACTCGATCGACAGAGTCGAATGCTGCCTTTAGGTCAAGAAATATAATGACTGTTGGACGCCAGTAGGAATGCCTATGTTCTAGAATCTGTCAGAGGGTGAAGATATGATCAATACACCCTCTTCCTGGTCTAAAGCCTGCCTGGCTCTCTCGTGTTTGTGCTTCCCAAGCACCACTCAGTCTACGCATGATTATTGAGCCTAAGACTAGATACTATATTAGTCAAGCTAATCCCTCTGTGATTATCACAGGAAGACTTGTCTCCCTTCTTGTATATGGGGATAATCAGTGATTTACACCAACCCGATGGGACTTCTTCTGATTCCCAGACGCTGCCTAGTACCTCAGTTAATCCGGACAGTAAACTGTCTCCACCGTACTTAAATACCCGAGCACCACTCAGTCTACGCATGATTATTGAGCCTAAGACTTTAGATACTATATTAGTCAAGCTAATCCCTCTGTTATGGCTGCACTGACATGAATATCCCCGTCGCCAAAATACGCTATGACAGAGTGTAACTGAGTTGTGGTTATCGTCCTAACTTGACTAGAGTGTCTCAACAGAACACGATATAATAACCAACTGATCACTTGAAGATAACGCTTACATTGAGATGGACATAAAAATAAGATTCAAATGCGACAAAAACGAAATTTATTGGGCAAAACACATAGTACTTCATATTTATAAAATCTCAAGAATTTAAGCCACAAAAATAGACAAATCAAAAACTGTCCAATCAGGTTATTATCTGATCGCATGCATATATCATGACTTCATGGCTAACAAAGAAGCTTTTCCTTTCTAAGAGTACTATAAAGTGTGAGATAACATTTTCAGTGGATAAAAGTGTCTAGTCGTAATAGATATGGTGAGACCGAGTTCATGCTTGTACCTAACCTTTAGATATACTTCATTTGACACTTGAAAAACATGAAAGATAGCCTACCTATTCAAGTGATAAGATTTGCTGCGGTCGACTTTCGAAGTTGCTTGCCAAATACTTCTTAGGAGTATACTGGCCCGTCTCAGATGATCACAGCAACTTTTACAGGAAGTCTCATCTAATGTATCAACAGTCTGCAGATGACTAAATCCTTGCAGACTTCATGAGGTGTGCTTACGAGTACCTCAAATGCCAACAATTCCCAACCAAAGTAATGACCGAACGTGTCTCTTAGATCTGATTCATTTCACACCTCAACTGCATGCAACACAACCAAACTGTCGAAAAGACTAGCAATGCATTCCCATTTTGGAGTGGAACGTCAGTCGAGGCAGACCTTGAAAGCTGGAGTCGCTCATGACCTTAGTCCTAACAGATCCATTATAGTTAGCCAGTCAGATCTTCAGGTGAGCAAGTCCCCAATGTGTCGACAACTTATAATGAGACTGACGCATCCAATACTTTTTTCAATTAGACGAGTTATGGTCGCTAGGTTCCACATGAATCTTAACCCAACAGTTACTGACAGTTTACGCAGTGGGAAATATTATGGGCTGTTCTACCCCGAGCAGACCCTACGTGGCAAGGATGATGTTTAGAACAATGATACACATTGTAAGAAGCTGGTTCACGAGGTATCGGCTAATATACCCAACATATAAGAGAGTTGTGAAAGGAATAGAAAGTCCAAAAGTTCCTATTCCTCTTCAGGAAAGCCTCATACGCCTTTCACAGGTTAACTTATGGAATGATTTCCTAGACAACAAAGACCGATTCTCAATGTCTAGTGTTGTGAACTTTTCTTATAATACGTATCTAGTCATATTCATATCTCTACCGCTATTAACACTCTTTTTTTCCTTTATATGTTTAAGCCATTCCGGCTTCATTGTAAAATGAATAAAGCCTAAATTCTTGGTTCATTCGTCTTTTCAAGATTCAAGCATCACTCATCGTTCTAAGACTCAATCACCTTCGTAACAATTTATTCATTTTACAATATTCATGGAACGATTTTTCCGACCTGATCGGTTCGACGTAGAACCTAACGCAGTTGGAGCTGCCAAGAAGTGGGATCACTGGTTTGCGACTTTTTCCTACTTCATTGAATCAATGGGATCCGAAAATCCTTCGAAACTACATATTCTCTTCAATCATATTTCTACTTCTGTATACGAATGCATTTCTGAATGCAAAACATACGAAGAAGCTATCGACACTCTCAAGAGTCTCTACATGCAGCCTTGCAACGAAGTGTTTGCTCGACACTTGTTAGCAACGTGTAAACAAGAATCTGGCGAAAATCTGGATCAGTTTGTTCGTCGACTCAAGTCGCTGACTACAGATTGTTCATTCAGGGCAGTTACAGCCGAAGAACATCGTAACGAATCTCTACGTGATTCATTCATCTCAGGTATACAGTCTTCGATGATACGCCAGAGGCTATTAGAACAGCGTACTTTAACTTTTCAAGCGGCATACGATCAAGCACGAGCTCTAGAGATGGCACATCAACAATCGCAGTCATACAACAATCCTGTTACACCTTGCGCGTCCATTTCTTTACATGATGTACCTCATTCATCAGATTCCACACCCTCCGTCAATGAAACAACCATTGCTGCCGTTGAATCCAAATGCTTTTTCTGTGGTAATCGTAGACATCCTCGTTCCAAATGCCCCGCCCGTGATGCAGTTTGCAAAGCTTGTGGCAAGCAAGGACATTTTCAGAAGGTTTGCAGGTCTGCGCCATCTACGAAAAAAGGTCCATCTTCAGTTAACTCTATAATTTCATCTCTCGTTGTGGCTTCAGCACCTCAAAGTCTCACTGATGCTGTTACGCAGCTTACTGTCAATGGGAAATCAATGCAAGCTCTAGTGGATACCGGAAGCAGTGAGAGCTACATCTCTTCCTCAGTTGTTCGTAAGTATAACTGGAAAGTCCATAAGTCTCGAAACAGAATCACAATGGCGAGTACGAATCTTACTAGTCATACTGAAGGACATTGTCTTCTATCCATCTGCTATAAAAACCACACTTATGATCTATTCAAATTTTCCATTCTTCATAATTTATGTGCAGACGTCCTTCTTGGACATGATTTTTTAAAACTTCACAAACACATTGAGATTCCTTTTGGGGGATCAAAGCCGCCTTTTTCTCTCTGTGGTCTACCTTGTGTTCGCGTCGACCTGCCTACTCTGTTTGAAAATCTTTCAAAAGACTGTAAACCGATCGCGATAAAATCCCGGCGTTATTCTCGTGAAGATGAAAGTTTTATTTCCACCGAAGTCAACCGGTTACTGCAAGAAGGTGTTATTGAACCTTCTAATTCTCCTTGGCGAGCTCAAGTTCTTGTTACGTCAAACGAACGCCATAAAAAGAGGATGGTAGTTGATTATAGTCAGACAATCAATCGATTCACTTTTCTGGATGCTTACCCATTACCTAGGATTGACGAAATGATAGAAAAAATCGCACAATATGACATATTCAGCACTCTTGATCTGAAGAATGCTTATCATCAAATTGCCCTAAGGAACGAAGATAAACCATATACTGCTTTCGAGGCTTGTGGGAAACTTTACCAATTTTGCCGAATTCCTTTTGGTGTTACCAATGGCGTAGCTTGTTTTCAACGCATTATCGATGAATTGATCAGTAAAGAACAACTCACAAGCACGTTTGCCTACATTGACAATGTCACTATCTGCGGCAAAACTCAGGAGGAACACGACAAAAATCTAAACAAGTTTATGGTAGCAGCACGCAATTATGGAATAACCCTTAATGATTCCAAAAGTGTGATCTCAAGCAGAAGCATACAATTACTCGGTTATGAAGTTTCAAAGGGGGTTATTAAACCAGATCCCGATCGGCTAAAACCTCTTCGTGATCTAGAACCACCCACAGATATCAAATCTCAACAACGGGCCGTTGGATTATTTGCTTATTATTCACAGTGGATCCCTCGCTTCTCAGATAAAATCCACCCATTGGTAAATAATCGGATTTTCCCTCTTGATATCGAAACTCGAAATGCTTTTGACAAACTGAAAGACGACTTAGAACGTGCAGTCGTTGTGGTAGTTGATCCGAAAGCACCCCTTGTTGTTGAAACAGATGCTTCAGATGTCTCAATTGCAGCTACATTAAACCAGAATGGTAAACCTGTCGCCTTCTTTTCTCGAAGCCTCTCTCGAAGTGAGAAACATCATTCATCGGTTGAGAAAGAAGCCTATGCCGTGGTTGAAGCAATTCGTAAGTGGAAGCATTACCTTCTCGGAAATCACTTCAAACTTGTCACTGATCAACGTTCAGTAGCATTCATGTTTGACAAGATTCATAAAGGCAAAATCAAGAACGATAAAATAATGCGTTGGAGAATTGAGCTATCCCCTTATCAATATGACATCATTTATCGTCCTGGAAGGGATAATCAAGCTGCTGATACATTTTCCCGTAGTTTCTGCGGTTCCTTGCAGTCAGTGTGCGACTTGAAATTTCTCCATGACTCTATGTGCCATCCTGGAGTTGTCCGAATGATGCATTTTGTACGCTCGAGAAACCTTCCATTCTCCCTTGACGAGGTGCGCAATGTAACCAGTAAATGCGTGACATGCTGTGAGTTAAAGCCTCAATTTTACAATCCCTCTAATTTCAAACTCATAAAAGCAACCCAACCTTTTGAAAGGTTAAGCATCGACTTTAAAGGACCTCTACCGTCAGCTAGCCGCAATCACTATCTGCTCACGCTGATCGATGAATATTCTCGATTCCCCTTTGCATTCGCCTGCCCCGACATGTCGTCTCAAACGGTAATGAATTGCCTTTGCCAACTGTTTTCGATTTTCGGTATGCCTTCTTACATACATACCGACAGAGGCGCTGCTTTCATGTCTACCGAATTACGGGCATTTCTTCTGGAGAAAGGCGTAGCAACCAGTCGTACTACCTCATACAATCCTCAAGCCAATGGGCAGGTCGAGCGCCTCAATGGAACACTTTGGCGTGCCATCACTCTAGCATTAAGATCACGGGGCCTACCAACGGCACAATGGGAGTCTGTTCTACTCGACGCCTTGCATTCCATCAGATCTTTGCTCTGTACTGCAACGAACGCCACGCCACACGAACGACTGTTTACCTATAACCGAAGATCGACATCTGGGACAACTCTTCCTACTTGGCTCACTGTACCAGGACCAGTACTTCTCCGGCGGAGTGTTCGTCAGTCCAAATTCGATCCCCTGGTTGAAGAGGTGGAGCTATTGAATTGTAACCCGCAATTCGCTCACGTTCGCTTCGGTAATGGACGTGAAGATACAGTTGCTCTTCATCATCTGGCACCCAAAGGCGAAGATATAGATCAAGTTGAAAATTCAATACCGGAGGGCGACGCAATTCCTGAGCAACAAGTAAATGGGGATGCGACCACTGATCCTAATATTCTTCGTGAAGAAAATACAACTGAAACGAACAACGGGCGTATTCTTTTGGAAAAACAACAACGTGTACGGCCTTACAATTTGCGTACCAGAGAAGCGTGACATAATGGCTCATTCCTTTTCAAGCCGCAGTGAATGTTGTGAACTTTTCTTATAATACGTATCTAGTCATATTCATATCTCTACCGCTATTAACACTCTTTTTTTCCTTTATATGTTTAAGCCATTCCGGCTTCATTGTAAAATGAATAAAGCCTAAATTCTTGGTTCATTCGTCTTTTCAAGATTCAAGCATCACTCATCGTTCTAAGACTCAATCACCTTCGTAACATCTAGCACGTAACTAATGCCTAGCAGAGCTTCATGAAAACCTCACGAAACAGAATGACAATAAAATAAAAGAAATTATAAAAAATAACCATCACAATAACATTTGCAAATAGGAATAAAACAGTTGAAACCAACACAAAAAAATGAAACAAAAACAAGATAGGAGGAGTACTTTGGTTACGGTAAGACGAATGAATGTATTCATTGACTTTGAATGCAAAGAACAAGCTTCGAGTTCCGTATAACCAATAATTCGACTAATGGCGAACTCCACCGAATCCTGAAAAATATCTCTTCAACTGTTTAAATCTTCCTCTAACTCTCATCCAATTCTAAGTCCTATTACTTGGTTCGAAATTCTGCAATGCACCCAGCCGAATCAACGGATTACAGACCAAAGTTCAGTTCTACAGTCCAACTCCCAGACACTTGATTCGTCACCCAGTTCTGAAAACGATTTCGAATATATCACGGCTTCAATCGTCGATAGCTGCTACAAGTGCATGCGTGCATGACCGAGTCATCGTTATCAGTTAAAGAAGGAAAAAAAGAAAATAACTCCAATAACTTCAAGAGAGTAAAGACATAACTCTCGGCCATCCAGATGAGGGTAATGGGATTGTAGTAATGAACAGATGAGATTACGTCGAAAAATTAACAAACGTACTAACAGACCAATTAAACTGAATGGGACATAGACACAGATCCTCCGTCCCTAACTGAGGTTACTAAAGCTGTCAACAATCTGACACAAGGCAAAGCAGTGGGACCTGATGGAAAGACTTTAAAGGTATTTAAGTACGGTGGAGACAGCTTACTGTCTGCATTAACTGAGGTTCTAGGCAGCGCCTGGGAATCAGAGGAAGTCCCGTCGGGTTGGTGTAAGTCACTGATTATCCCCATATACAAGAAGGGAGACAAGTCTTCCTGTGATAATCACAGAGGGATTGGCTTGACTAATATAGCATCTAAAGTCCTAGGCTCAATAATATTGCTTAGACTAAGTGGTGCTCGGGAGGCACAAACACGAGAGAATCAGGTAGGCTTTAGACCAGGAAGAGGGTGTATTGATCATATCTTCACCCTCTGACAGATTCTAGAACATAGGCATTCCTACTGGCGTCCAACAATCATTGTATTTCTTGACCTAAAGGTATGAGACAATATGATTCATCTGCAACTACATCGGAACCAACAACCCCGAAATTCCTCTTCCCATAAACTACCTGAAGGGACTACTTTTCAGGTGTATGTTTAACATTCAATTTAGATTTGACGAACAGTTCGACATGTAGAAAGACGATGTGGCTATGTAGTCTTCTCTCGATCCACTCTTAGCCGACTGTTTAATGGTGAGTCTTGAGAACAACATCATTGATTCTTTGATCGGTCAATTGAACCTTTACTAAAGATGAGTAGATGGTACTTATGCAATTTATGATGAAAAACTTGATATAAACAATATCAATGCAACCCACCCTTCAATAAGATTAGCTCTAGAACGCGAATTAAACATACCGTTTTTGCTGCTGCAGACAGTTAATCCAGTCAAGTTAGGATAAGACACCGCTTATGGCCACCTCAGTGCGTATTTGTCAGTCTACTTATTCATTTGAAGCCGAGTACATCGGCCGTACACAAGTCTGTGAACGTATTCTGGGACACTGTACAGCCTAGTTTGCCGGTGGAGAATCGGTGAATACCAGCAGTTCTATCCTCGAACACGTCAGCTCTAAATATCGGGCATCTCTGCATAACTGCTTCACAGTACTACACAAAGTCCCTCAATATGTCACGAAAGGACTTCGAATACGCCATAGGCAAATTATTGATTATTAGGTACATGAAACTGGGTCTTCGCATTCAAAGTCAGGGAATACATTCATTCGTCTTAGCGTAACCAATGTACCGCTCTTACAATATTCTCGGTTAACGTTACCATGAGTATACGATTGTGGTTGTCATTATTAGAATTATTTATTATTATTATTTATTTGTTCACTAATATTTTACTTATTTAAGGTCTTGAGGTATATCTACGCCAATGTTCGAGTAGTTTTTTCTATACAGGTATACTGGCTAATCATTCTTCACACCTTTTGCATGATTTCACTTTCGCACACCCCTTTTCTTATTCTTCACTTTTTAATGTTCTGGATTGTAGATCACATTATATAATGCATTCTGGAAACAATTTTGGAATTATCTCATTCATCTAATGAATTCGATGTGAAATATGTACACGATTCCACAGATCTTGAGAACTGTTTTTCGAAGAGGATATCCTCTTCATCGTTTACGTCTCATTTTTGCCATACATATGTTATTTTATGCAATTGCATCTGGCAGTGGAAGAGGAAAGGACTTCCAAATATTTGAAAAATAAGGGCTTGGATGAGTTACAGTTGGCTTTGGGTTGTTAGAGCATGCGGCATAGAGTGCTATTTGATACCATATGTTAGACCGCGTTTCATCTCTCGGGCATTTAGTTGCTGTGGTAGGAAAGTTTTAATTTCCATTTAAAACGAGCGTCCCTCTTATTTTATAGTTTTCACTCATATGTAGTTTTATACGAGCAAACGTGCACGTTTCCTTACATGTGAGTGACATATCACTTAATTTAACTAATAATGGTGCTTCCCGTATATTCTGCATCAAAAGAAGTTTAAGGCTTACATAATTGTCCGTTTTCCAAACGTGGAAAAAGTATTTGCTGACCGGTCAGGCACTGTGCACCACGATGTATGCAAAACGTGAAAACGCAACCTAACCTTGACGTTCAAAATTCCCTCGGTTAGACCTTATACCTTTCAAAATACAGAGAAGGATTTCTGAAAAAGGACATAACATATAACACAGGTTTATTGAAAATTATTGACAAAAATTTTTTCCAAGCGAAATTTTAACATAACGTGATAAATAAGTCCAGTCGAGAAAGAGGGAGGAATCAATCGAAGTGCTACGGCAACTTCACTGCACATGATAAATATTAAAACTATGAGGAATAAACTCAATTTTCTCCGGAATAAAAAAGATGGACGGAAAGTCCGTCAGTAGACATGTTCTCCTTTGATAAACACAATAGTAACGACAGGGATGCGGAATGTGCGTACAATGTACGAAGCTGGGAAAGCCAACCATGAAGCCAAACTAATGAGAAAAGACGGCAAGATAGGGCTCAGAGTCTGCAAGAGGAGATGGGATATATGTGGATTGGTTAGTCAACTATCTTCTCCAGCTCCGCTTTCACTTCGTCAGTGGTGTCATAAAGTCTGCCGATATCTCTGGGTCCATTTTCAATGCTTCTGTATTGATTCCCTCTGCTCCTGCTGCTTTACCAGTTCCCAGGTTTTCTGCTTTCGTGAAAGGGCTGATGTCTACTGGTGGTTCTGATTCCGCGATTGATATTATTGGGTGCGTTGTAGTTGAGTTGATTAAGTAGTCTTTTCAAGCGCTAAGCCCAGTATCTCCTTTTCTCCACCTCTTTGGTGATTGACTTCCATCGTCATCCTTCACTGGCTAAATTTTTGCTCACCTCTTCCACGATAAGAACCAACTGTCTGGTGGAGCGTTTCGAGGTCTCCTTTGCCTGCAGCTTGTTTTGCTTTGCTTGCCACAGCTTCATTATATTGTCTTTTGTCTTTCCTAGCGCTTTTCTTCACTCTTTTTTCAGTGTATCATAAATTGCATTCAGCTCCTGTTTTTGTTGCTCGTCGATGCACTGGACAATCTTTTGCCTCACCACTGTTCTTTCCTCTAATAGTCACCATGTGTCTGTAGGGAGCCACTGTTTTTCCTGTCTCTTTTTCCTGCCTAGAACATCCATGCAGGTTTGACTCCACAGTGCTTTCAAGTTGTTCCAGTGCTTTTAAACACTGGTCTTTTCGCTAGTGCTGATTTGTGTCTCCCTCTTTTTTCTCATGACTGCAGTGAAGATGTCCCTTGTTACCTGATCCTTCAGATTTTAAGTATTGAATTCGATTTGTAGTCTATCTGCAGCTCCTGCTTCTCTGAAAGCTTTTAATTTGATTTGGAGTGTTTCTTGAAAGACACAGTGGTCTGAGCCGACGTCTGTTTCTCTTCTTACTTTTGTGTCCAGTAAGCTGCATCTCCACTTGCTTGAGCAGCACTGATATGAAGTCAACTCGGTTTTTGGTTTGCCCATCTAGTGACCTTCATTATCCTTACGTTTATCCTTGCGCTCGTATATGCTGCCGCAGATCTTTAGTTCATTGAGGGCACAGAAGTCAGAGAAGACTTTTCCCTCTTCACGCCCCTTTCCAATTGCTTCTCAACCCATAATGAGTTCTCTTCCTACGCTATCTGGTCCCAGTTTGGCGACCATGTCATTCATTAGCATTTTATTGTCACCGACTGGAGTGTTGTCCATTTTCGACAGTAGAACTCTTCTTTCTTGTCTATGTTTGCGCTGTTTGTGTGTGCACTGCATTGTATAATTGTCGCTTTCCCCACTTATGACTTCATCGCTCCAGTAAGACTTGTGAAATCGAGGCCTTAACAGCCTGACTTCATCACCGCCAAGATTCTAAACCGACTGCGTAAGCATGCTAGGCAATTCTACAGATGTAGTGACTTTTCATCACTCGTTACACTCAAGCAAACTTATGATTCATACAAATCAAGTCAGTTATCTGAGTCCATCAAACTAGAACGCATCCTCCACTCACGACCCGATAATGCAGAGGCATTAGTTACACTAATTAAGTCACGAATTAACAGCAACAGAATAAGTATCCCTAAGTTTTTACTGGATGGAGAAAAACTACACGAAGACCCGCGGGAGATATGCGAGTTATTCAGCTCCTACTTTTCTAGCTACTTTACTAACGAAGAAACAGTAGGTAGTCTTGATATTCGGACAGTAGCAAATCACTTTTTGGGTAATATAACACACTCAACAAAAGATTTCCTCCGCTATAGCATCCCTCCGGACATCATATAAAGCTGGACCTTATGGAATTCTACCTATCTTGTTGAAAAGAGGTGGTGAGAACATACCCATTATCCCACTAAGCTTTTTCAATCTGTCCTTAAATAATGGCAGTTACCCAGAGTGCTGGAAGCTGTCGTTTATAGCCCCTAGGCACAAACCACGACCAACTTCTAATATCGAAAACTACCGACCGATCAATATCACGTCAGTAGTTTCCAGGGTTATGGAAAAGGTTATAGAGCAAGATATTGCTTCATGTCCCCACCTTCACAAATTGTTTACTCCAGCACTACACGGCTTCTTGAAAAGTCGATCATGCTCCACCTGCCTACTTGGCTACTTTGATGATGTTACCGCTAAGCGTGATCATGGTTTGCATGTTGCAACTCTCTTCTTTGACTTCAAAAAAGCCTTTGATAAAGTCCCACACAAGAGACTAATCCTTAAGCTAAAGTGGTACGGGTTCCAAGACCCCTTTTTATCCTGGCTCATTTTTTTCTTGGAAGATCGTTCCCAAGTTGTGAAATTTGCAAATAATTACTCATCACCCAGACCTATACGAAGTGGAGTGATTCAGGGTAGTGTACTAGGTCCACTGCTTTTCGTAATCTACATTAACGACATCTCCAGCGTAATCAAGCACGGAACCCCATATCTCTTTTCTGACGACTTAAAGATTGCATACAGCTCCCCCATTCTACACTGAACGAGGGATTCACACATATTCAAGATGATCTGGATAGGTTACATAACTGGAGCAATGACTGGCAACTGCCATTCAATTCTGATAAATGTTGTGTCCTATATTTCAATAACTCCCATCCGAATTTCAGGTTTCACCTAAGTAACTCTTTTCTCCAAACCCTCAGTTCCATAAGAGACCTGAGAGTTACCTACTCACAAAACGTAGCATTCAGTCAGTACGCAAAATCGCTTGTTTCTAAATGCCCAATACTCATAGGCTTGTTACATCGAAAAATGTACACAACTGAGGCCTAAGTCCTTTTATACAAAGTCATGGTTCGTCCAGGACTTGAATACCGCACAATTGTCCTCGGTTTCATTCATGGGTATGACAGGGTTCGTAATGAAAATATTCAGTGAAGTTTTACACGACGCCTATTACACAAACATGAAGGACTGACTTACACTGATAGGTGCAAAATATATGGACTTCAGCCACCTTGGTTAATGCGCCTGAAAATTAACCTAACATTCCTCTTCCGCCTTTTACACGGCTACATCAAAAGCAGTAATCCAATAGCTTTCAACAATTTGCCCATATATACTCTTAGGAGTCTTGAAAATACTCTATCCGTAACCCGGTACCGGACAAAACTGCGATCATGTTTCTTCAAAATACAGTACAGTGCATTATGGAACAAACTTCCACTCACTGTAAGTAGTTGCCAATCTCCTACTGAATTCCAGCGTCTCCTTAACGAGTTCCTGTCATTAAAAGAGCTTCGGTCTACTAATCCATACTTTGCTCAACTAGCTTTAGTGTTACAGACCCCAATTTGAGGAAACTCATTTGCCCCGGCAACCGTACCGCATCTATAACGTGATAAAACCAACCCAATCTCTCCCACATGCCTTTAACTAAGGTTAGGTGATTTAACTTATTAGAGATCCTATCAATATTTCATCAATCAAGTTTATAAACTCATAAGACTATCTAGTATCATCCTGGACGTATAATCCCAAATTAGTTGTGATAGTTCTTCCATAATATACGCAAACTGGCACTTTGTAATATCTAAAGCATGCCATATGAAAAGTGGCCAGGAAACCTAGCAGTAACAAACTCAGCCAACCAACCATCTCCATCAAGTTCATTCAACCTAACCTTATCCCTAATCGTACCACTATCCACTACTAACTGCGCCGTAACCGCTTAACTGACCCACTGATTTTCTCTTCGCCGTAATCTTCAATAAGTTCGTCAGTATAATTATTTCCAAAAACAATTACATTAGCAACCATATCTTTTAATACTTTACAAATATACTTATATTATTAGTATAATACACTGTACTATTTTGAGTTGTAATGACTATCTTCAGTCAACAGTTACTCATTTTCATATAATTTTCTAAAATTCATAATGTTAAAGCTATGTAGTATTTTTCCATTATATAGTTGATGAGTCACTTTGCAATGTGTAACGCACACCATACAAAATCAGTCTTGAAAATTCAGCATACCAAGTTCTGCTAGCCAGTTGCTTTTCTCAGGACTACTTTGCATAACTTTATCACTAATTGATCCACTACTCACATCACTCTGACAAAAGAATATAACTTAATTGCTCTAATATTAGCTATTTTTACACTTCATTACTCTTAATGAAAACTTAAATTCTTAGTCATTTTGTAGTAACCCACTTGTCAGCCAACTCTCAGAAACTGTCAATATCCAGCTCTTACTACGCTGGACCTCACTTTGTCCCTTGAAAACTTGCAGAAACAATTTGTAATAGCCAACGCGAAAAACCAAAACAGAGATTGGCAACTCTAGAATCCCTTATTCTTACGCCAATATGTAACCAACAATAGTTCTCTGTCTTCCAACGAACAGCAAACGATGAGACGATGACAGTCGGATTGATGACTTCCGCGAAAAATATAGAGTTTGGTTTGAGCAAACAACCATGAATTGATCGTTCAATCTTCAACTACATTGACACTCCCCAGCAAAATACGGATTCATCCCCTTTTTCCATCACGACCAATACACGTCGACTTGGACGCCACTGCGAGATACTGTGCCACACGAACAAAGCTGAAGTAGAAATCAAATAGAAAAGCCAACACACCACAAGCATACCCACAGCACAATCACATTCGTCAGCGACGACCTATTCCTTCCAGTTAAAGGCATCCTATTGACATCTTGCAACACAA